GTGGAATTTGCAGATGATACTAACATTTTAACTATAGGGTCATCCTTGGATAATTTATTGAATATCGCTAATAATAGATTAGATAAAGCACAGAGATGGCTCAATATGAATAAACTCATACTGAACAGAAAAAAAAAACAAATTATATCCGTTTCGTCACTAAAACAAATAATAGTACCTTACCATAAAATTTCTGGGGATACATATTGACCAAAATTTAGATTTTGGAGTGCATATAAATGAGATCTATAACAGGTTAGCATCTATCTGCTACTCTTTCAGAATAACAGCAAATTATTTGGATGAAAAATGTAAATGAGTTGTCTATTTTTCAAATTTTCATTCTGTAATGTGATTTGGAAAAGTTTTCTGGGAGGAAATTGGTAACACTGAACAGGTTTTTATATTACAAAAAAGAGCAATCAGATTTCTACTTAACTGGAAATAAAGGGATTCATGTAGAGGTAATTTCAAAAAGCTAAACATACTAACAATGGCTGGAACATACATTATATGAATGCTTACTTTTCATTTTTAAAAACAGACATAAATTCTTGAAACACATAACAAACTATAATACTAATACACAAAACAATCTCATAAACTATAATATACCAATACATAGACTAACAGCATCTGAGAAAACCACATATGTCTGTATTAAATTCTTTAACAAACTGCCTTACAGAATCAAAATAGAAACTGACATAAATAAATATAGAAAGTCTGTTCAGCAGTTGCTCATACACCTTGAACCATACAAAGTGGAAGAATACCTTCAAGCTGACCTGCGGGGAGACTGAGGGCTCTTATCTGAATCTAAATGTACTGTTATTATTATTATATTTTAATATTACTTTTATGTTAAGTGTAGGTTGTTACAGAATTCATTATAAATTGTAATTGACTCCATTCTCTCTATTGACAATTTATATTTGTGTGTAATTTGTAAATCCTGAGAATAAAGCTTTTTTCTAATCTTTGCTATTCTCATGTTACCTGTTATTCTGTTTTTGTTCATTTTCGATACTTTTATTTTGTTATTCTAGAGATGGTTGCTTTAAATATTAATGTTTGTAAATATCTGATGGGATGTACATAGATAATGGAAAACACTTCAAGAACAATATAACAAGATAAAGAAATGATATTTTTGTAATTATTAGATATAATAATACTGTTTCTAATAGATGTAAACAATCAAATGTCTCATATTAGATAAGATTAGTTGACTGTATACATCAAATACATACAAAAATAAATTCTTTATTTTCCTTTTTTTTTAATTAAATGTTGTTAACTGTATCACGGAAATTTACAATTATTATTTCTTGTCAATTCAATCTTTGTGTTAAGGATTCTTTTAAAAAGCCATCTTTTCTAAGTTATTACATCTAGAAAATTTTGTGCACCTTCTGCGAATTCGCCCTTCCACCTTTTCTGTGGCCTTCCTTTTGGTCTTGTGTCCTACACCTTACTATCTAGAGCTCATTTCAGCAATATTTCAGCCTCCATTCTCACTACATGACCAGACAATCAAAGTCTTTAAAGTTGAGCAAATTCTCAGGTTGATGGTATTAATTAAAACAGAGTAATGAGATCCAGGAACTTATTATACTAGTAAGTCAAAACACATGGAGGAGTAGGAACTAAAAATGATGCTAGTGAAGATATATTGGATTTAAAAGTAGTATTGGATGTGGTCGAAAACACCATGTCCTTCGAAGAGGAAATTCTGAGATGTCTAGAGACAACAAATATAGACGTTATGGATATCGAAACCTTAATGATAACTTAATAAAAGCTATTAAGAACGCAGAGAAAAAGTGCAATACAAATTCTAGGAGAGATAAGGAGGAAAAGCTCAGTCAAGAAACAAAAAGACTTATGGAGGCACGAGAGAACTTAAGAACAAAAACGATACGAATGCACACATACTACAACAACTTAATAAAGATATTAATAAAGCAGTGAGAAAGGACGTACGACAATATAACACAAAAAAGATTACAACAGTTGTCGAGAAAAATAAAAGTTTAAAGGTGCTGAAGAGATGTCAAGCTCTAGGTAAGAAGAACATTGTTAAGCTCGCAGATTGAAATGGAAAAGTGGTAACAGATAAAGATAAGATAATTAAGGTAGTTGAAGAATTTTACACAGAATTATATAGAGAAAGGGGGAAGAAAGACGGCACCAAGTTGAGAAAAGTCCAGAATGTGGGTTCAGAGGATATCCCAGAAATAACAATCGAAGAAGTCTTAAAGTCATTAAATAGAATGAAAAACAATAAAGCAGCTGGTGATGATCAAATCGTTATTGAGGCAGTTAAAGCAGGAGGAAAGACAGTATTGAAAGCATTGACGCAATTATATAACTTATGCCTTTCAAACGAGGTTACACCATCTCAGTGGAATAAAGCTGTTATAGTAGTCATGCACAAAAGGGAGATATAACCGAGCTAAAGAACAATAGACCTATTAGCTTGTTATCTCACGTTTATAAGTTGTTTATGAAGACAATTATAACTAATAGGTTGACATTAAAACTAGACTTCTATCAACCTTGCGAGCAAGCAGGATTTAGAGCTGGATACGGAACAAATGATCATTTGCAAACCATTAAGTTGTTGATTGAAAAAAACCATTAAATATAATAGACCCCTGATACTTGTCTTTGTCGACTTTGAAAAAGCATTTGATACGGTCAATCAAAGTGAAATGCTCCAAGCTCTAACACAATGTAGAATAGATCACTGATACATATCTCTCATCAGATACATCTATCAACATGCTACAGCCTGTGTAAGACTTAATGAAGATACTGGGACTTTTCGTATTGAAAGAGGCATTCGGCAAGGAGACAACATGTCTCCTAAATTATTTACAACTTTGCTAGAATACGCTTGTAAAACAATAGATTGGAACGAAAAGGGCATCAATGTAGATGGAAAATTTTTAAATAACCTTAAATTTGCAGATGATATCGTTCTTATTGCAGACAGCTTTGATCAGGCACAGATAATGCTCCAAGAACTCCATACTGCCACAAAAAGAGTTGGTCTTAAAATAAATTTTTCAAAAACACAATTTATGACAAATTTAGTCCACAACAAAAACATCTCAGTAGAAGACAAAGATATTGAGCCAGTTGACTCCTATAAATACTTAGGCCATGAGATCAGAATAAGTCGAGACAACCAAACAATCGAGCTGAAAAGAAGAATAAACCTCGCTTGGGCTGCATTTGGAAGGATGAAGGATATTTTTAGGTCTAAGATTCCAATGTGTCTGAAAAGAAAAGTATTTAATCAATGTATTTTGCCAGTGATGACCTACGGCGCAGAAACCCTAACGCTCACAAGAACAACAGTGAGTAAACTACAAGTTGCGGAAAGAGCAATGGAGAGAATTATGTTAGCGATTTCTCTACGTGATAGAATACCCAATGCTACTATACGCAAAAGATCAGGAGTAGCAGACGTTATTGAAAGGATAACAACACTAAAGTGGAACTGGGCAGGTCATGTAGCAAGATCAGTTGATGACCGGTGGACAAAAAGAATTTTGGAATGGAGACCCCGAATACAAGCTTACAGAAATAGAGGTCGACCCCCAACGAGATGGACAGATGACATAAAAAGAGTGACTACAAATTGGATTCAGATGGCGCAAAATCGGACTAAGTGGAAAAGCATGCGAGAGGACTATGTTCAGCAGTGGACGTTAGAGGCTAGTTGATGATGATGATGATTGGATGTGGTGATTTAAGTACTTTACTGGATATAGTAAATAAATATTAATTATTTTCTGAACACCTAATAATACCTAATCAAGTGTGTACTTTCATTTTACTATTCATTGTTCCCTGATATGGTATGTTCTGTATTCTTTGGTTACTCCAAGATTATGTTTTTAACTTATGGATTGCGAATCCCAAGGAAGTTACTAAGATTTGCTTGGACCTTGGTTGCAAACAATAATTTGGTATAATAAAAACAATTTCTGGTATCAATATCTCCTATACACAAAACTTCAGTCAGAAGGCTATAACTGATTGTTTTTTAATATTTAAACACTGGGTTTATTGTGTGTAAATCAATAGAAGACACACAAAAATAATGACAACAGTGATAAATGAAATGAACCTGAAATATATCATCAAAGACCTTCAGGTCCAAAATAATAAATGCGGATATGGATGTCAAGCTCAAGAAACCATCCAACACCTTACCGGGGGCTGCCAGACATTTGCTGCAACTGAATATAAGGAATGGCACCACTCAGTATAAAATGTGCTTCATCAAGAGATAGTCATCAAACTGGGACTTCTCCAAACAAACTATCTCCCATATTATCAATATGTTCCTGAAAGTATACTTGAGAATGATAACTACAAGCTATTCTGGGACAGCACTGTGCTCACAGACCAAACAAGATCTCATACTAGTTAATAAACTAAAGAGACAAACAACTCTAATTTATGTGGCTATACCCAACAACAATAATCTTCGTGTTAAACAGAAAAAAAAGATCGCCAAATATAGGATTCTGGAAATTCAAATATGAAGACAGTGGAGAATGGAAAGTACTCAGACAATACCTATTATTCTCTCTACTACTGGAGTCATTACGAAGAAACCTCCTAGAAAACATAAAAAAGCTAGGTCTGAATGAACATCTCTACAAGATCATGCAAAAAGCTGTACTACTCTCAACATCCAGATATGTATGAAAATTTTTGGGAGATACTCCAGCATACCAAGTCACCTAGGGCATAATTACACAGAAAGATTCCCACCAGAGATCAAACCTTTTGAACCGTAGGTACTTATCTGGGATGAGTGAATTTTCCCCTTAGAGGGAGTGTGAGCTGTATGGCTAAATCTGGATAATGAAATGATATATGTGTAACTAAACGAACAATTTAAACATCTAAAAAAATTAGATATATATATATATTAAAACAAACATACATGAAAATATTTCAATAAAACAACTTACCTGAATGTATTACTTCCAAGAGGTTCTTCCTCATCTGCAGATAAAGCTTCATGTACACCTTCTTCATAATCAATACCACTATCTGTATGTTCATTATCCAACAAATCACTTTCGTCCAAATATTCTCCACTGATACTTGCTCTTGATTCTTTCTCCATATCTGTTGAAACAGTCATTGATCCTTCCAAAAAGTTTACATATAATTCTTCAAAATGTTCATGATCTTGAATGTATGTCCAGTTATCAACATAGGGAGGAATTTTAATTATTTCCCCACATTTTGGACAAACATAATTACGGATTTTTTTTATTTGTGATTGACCGATTTCTAATAATGTATTTTTGATATTCTTTTTTAATGATAACATTAAAGGCACCAATTCTTGGGATTCACTTGCGTTTGCATGAAGTAAAGCCAATCTTCCTTTGCCATTGAGAAGATTGGAAAACTCTGACACCTTTTCTACTACTTCTCTTACAGGAATATTGTTTGAAGAATGATAATCTCCATTTTCTAAGCGATTGATTATTACGTGTATATCTTCTGGTACATTATTTTCACTATTCAGCATTTCCTTATCATCCATTTTTAAATTTCTCTTAATGATTACTGAAAAGATAATATTGTGTGTGATAAGATAGTAACTAAAACATACATAAAATAGAATTAAAATCACATTACTAAAATTATTGATAATATTATTTACAGTAAAATTTTATTACAAAAATGTGTCATCGATTTGTTATTTTTTATTTCATACAAATTTTTTAACCCAACCAAAGATCACCATTACCACATCTTCGTTTAATTGGCCTAAATTTTTGCGGATATTCAGCTACTTTTCATTTTTTGAGAAATGAATTTTTAGGTTTTTGTTGATTTTTTAATAACATCTACAGTTTTTATACGGTGTAGATACCTTTATGATCCCGATAGAGAGTAAACCACGAGTAAACCTACTTCAGGCATTTAGTGTCCTTGCCTACGTGAGCTTCTTCGTCCTCCTTGCATTTAAGAAGGTGCAAAAGGAGAATGCTCTTATAGTCGGTTCGCTAATGCCAGTCCGAACTGTCTAGTGATTTTAGTAATTATGTTTTACGAAGTTAGTTACTTTTTGACAGACTAGAAGTGGCTGGAAATTATTATACAACCAAGTACACGTGCTCATAGCGCATTTCATTAGAGTATTTCGTCGACCTCTTTTGCAAACTTATACTATGAATTAGAAATTTATAGCGTGTGTATATATATATTATATATATATATATATATATATACTATATATATTTATATAAAAAATATGTTTTATAAAAAAGTTACGGTAATTTAGGTTATATCGTTAAGTTGCGCCAAATATAGGCAACCAACTTAAACTTTTTGTTAGTATTTAGCTAGATTTCTTGAGAATATATTTAATATTTTCCAGTTAATTTATTATTATTTTTTAAAGTGATGATAATAATGCTGAATAAGCAATATTTCAAATGATATCTAATCACAGGACGTACTTAATATTGTGTTATAAATTAGGTTAGATAAAAATATCATAATATTCATATTATAATTCAAAAATATCATTCATCAAAAATATAATTAAAACAAATCATAATCTTCTATTATTCCTATTAGAAACTAGATTTGGACGGCCGGGATTTTACCTTTTTTATCTAACGTATTTTATTATGAGGATTTTACAATAAACAATATTAAGTACGTTTTGTGATTAAATATCATTTGAAATATTGCTTATTCAGCATTATATCATCACTTTTAAAAATAATAAATTAACTGGAAATAATAAACGTTTATTAAAATATTCTCAAGAAATTCCAGCTAAATCCTAACAAAAAGTTTAAGTTGGTTGCCTACATTTGGAGCAACTTAACGATATAAACTAAATTACTGTAACTTTTATCACAGCTTTTATTTAATTTTTGACGCCATGTCAAACTGAACTGGATGTTAACTGAAATGTTTTTGTTATTAAGAACATATTTACATAATTTTATAAATATATTTTAATGATCCACCCACGCCGAATGGGCAAATAATTAAACAAAAATGGTTGGTGTTTTGAATAAATCTTTGTGCAGTTTGATTACCTCGTAATTTAACAGCATCCTTACTCATATAAAAATATTAACTTTTAAAGAACTTTTATCATATTTATATGTATTCAAGAAAAACTTACCAACGCATTATCTGATAGAATAAATGGAAAACTTTGACTATCTCTAATAATAAAATTCAAAATAGAACTAACTAATTAACTAAATAGAGCTAACAAAGAATTAAACAAAAATAATGGAACAATAAAACTATATTAACTAAAATAAACAACGCGAATAATACAAATATTTACTACAATATGTTCAATTGTAATAACTCAAATATTATATTTTAAATATACAGGGAAAATGTTATGGGTTTAGTATACACTTCCACTATTTGGAATAATTCTTCTTTTTTTAAGGAAGAAGTCTACAATAGTAGTATATTTGAGCTATTAATACTGAGAAGTAGGAATTTTTGTGTTGTAGGTTTCCGACAATGAATCTGTCAAAATATGCCCGAACTAAGCGAATGGAGAATAAGAAGGATTATGTCTTCAGTATTCTGCAATATGGAATGGCAGCATGGACTATAGCAATGTGTAAAAGAATTAAGGATTTCGACATTTTTGCGTACCGCCGAATTTTGAGGATGTCGACAATGCACAGAGTGACGAATGAAGCAGTTTTACAGAGTCTAAACAAGAAAGAGAGACACCGTAAAAAGGAGAAAATTGGAATCTTTTGCCCACGTGATAAGAAATCCTAAATATGACTATCCTCCATACAATTAACCTGGGAAAAATTTAAGGGAAACGTGGTCCAGGAGTACGAAGAACATCCGCCAGTGGTGTGGCATGGAGTCAGCACCACTACACTTTTTAGGTGCGCTGTAGACCGGTCGCCAATATAAGTGGGAGACAAGCCATTAGCCATTTAAAGAAGAACTTAAGATCTATGATCCTATACAATTTTTTGATCACTTCAAATCTTAGATTTGTAGGTTTACAGAGCTTATTAATTAAGATAGTCTTCTTGTTTTATTTTGAACTAAGCCTCATAACTCATTCAAATTTCTTCCTGCGGGGTTACAAATAGTGCAGCTCAATTCCCAGAAGATTAGACAACGTGCAACATAGCCAAGCAGTGTGGGTTGTCTAAAAATAGTATCTATTTTTATTTTTCTGCTTATAGTTAGCAGCTCCACTGACCTTTTATACATAGCCAACTTTATTTGGAAAAAAATGTATGGTTAGTCCCCCAAAATTAGCGAGATACCTAACAAAGATACTACCATTATGTTTTCATTTAATAGACAAAGATCGCAATCGTATTCCCCCCCATTCTTCCCTTCATGTTGTACCCTTCGCGTCATAAAAAACTGGTACAACCATGGACGTATAAACACAGATTATATTATATACACAGATACATTGTATCTACAACATACATGGGTACAACTCATAACTGAAAATTGTGTTTTTCAAGTTGTGTAAGTTGATCTTCTCACTTATTGTCATTCTAATTTCTATGGTAACGTTGCCAGTTCAACGAAATATTGTATCAAATCAGCTAAAAGGAGGTTGTGCGACAGTAACATTAAAAATACCCTACTTTTAAAGATCCTTTAAACATTTTGTGCATTAACGCAACCTTCTCTCTAGTTATAAAATTTATTAGATACGATTTTTTGTTGTTAATGATAATAATGTTAATCTTTTATCAGTACGTCTACGTTTACAGTCTGTTAAACTATAAATCCAGCTTTATGCGGCTTCGTTGTATTTGCCCAAATATTTTATATTCGTCAGCGAATAACAAATACTCTACTCCACACTTGTGCCGGCGGGCCAAACATTTGCGTCATGCGTGTTCTGCAGAACCAAAATGGACGTATTGACGGTCGCTGCAACTTATTTTTAGTTAAATCCAGAAATCTCATTTCCTCTTCATTTGTCCACTCTTTTTCACAGTAGGTAAACCACAAATCAAAGCGTAATAGATAGTTTATATAAACATACAAATTTGTCGAATTGGTGTTTCAAGAATAACAAAGACAACCACCAGTGTGCGCGAAGTGTGGGCCGTCGACACATGGCTTATTCGTATCTTTTGAAGTGTGTCCAAAAGCCGCAAGTTGACACATAGGCTTTTTTGCTATTCGTGTATTTGCTTGGCAAATAAAGGAAATAATTGACGAATGTACCTTCCACACTTCGTCTTATTCGGTCGAATATGGCGCACAACGAATAACACATGACACGATACATTGTTTGTGTCGTTAATGATTTCATACAATTGCGGTTTTAACATTGACGTTACAAATGGTAAATTTTTTTCTGTCAGCCAAGATATCATATCCATTTTTTAGAATTACTGGTGGGTGCTTTATTAATTTGTACATTATGATATGACGCATTTTCAGTAACAACAGATCCAACAGGTAAATTGGGGATTAACTGTTCTTTCATTCATTTTTCATAATTTTCTGAATTTATATCATCATCATAATCTCCTGTCTTAGAAATCAACAAAGCATTCTGTATCAAACCCATCTCCCTACCACCATGTACGATAAATAACGTACTTCCTTTTGAAATGTTTTTGAACAATCCTTTACCACTTTCATCTGTCCAGCTATTTGGCGTGTTTGTCCTGTATGTACATAGGTTTCATGAACATATACAATTGACTTACCTACGCTTCTATAATATTTAATTTTGTCCAAATATTTAATGCGTACAGCACGAATATCATTCCGTTCAATTAATAAAAGTAGATTATTTTTCGTTTTCTTCCATTTAAATCCAACATCTTTCACAATTCTGTAGAGAGAACTCACACTTCCAGTCCACTCGTACACATCTTCAAGCCTTTTCTACAAAAGCTTCACTGATACACGACAACGTTCAGTCTCATGAAAACGATGAATGGTATTACTAATAAACTGTTTGTCATATTCCCTCAAGTCTGTCATCGTTGCTTTCCTTTCAGCAAGTGTTGTAGCTGAAAATTTTACTGTATTATTTGACTCTTTCAGAAAATAGTATTTACATATATTTAAATACATTATAAACTATTCCTTTGGATTCTGATGTCAATCTGATCTGTTTAGTCGTACTACACTTAACCATCTACATTCTAAAAAATAGTTCTAATACGCGTGGTAGCACCTTTCTTGATGAGACTCGACAACATAATGAGACTAAATTGAGAGACGAACTCGTTTGAGATCCATTGACTAGAAACTCTCGGAAATAATTCTTATTAGTTCTTTGTATGTCTTTAACGAGTCGTTAAGGAGTCATTAATAATGACTTTATAATTACGGTTTTAAGGTTACTGATACTAAATTAGAAATTAATTTTTACCAAACTTTATAGAGTATCAATTATTAAAGATGGTATTATAACAAACAAAAGTTTGGTATCTATAAAACAATATGTGTACAATCAAACTCCATATATTATTTAAGTGAGTAATAATTTTGTAATTAGTGAGATTTTAAATAATTTAATTTGTTTAATATTGCAACGCCACTGCATGGGCCTGACCATAGATATTCTATTGTCTGCACGATTAATTATTTCGTGGAAGGGCTCGCCATTCGATTTGAAATAAGTTGTACCAAAGAATTATAGACGCTTATAGAAGGATCTTTCACTGTTACGTTTGAAAGTTGGCAAAAGATGATCGCACGTTATGAAAAAGAATGAGAGGGTGGATCGAGGTTTTAGTACCAGTAGGAAGCGGTCATGTCGGCGCTATTATTCGCTTTTAAAATATGAAAGAGTGGGGCAACAAATGCAACATATATTTTTATGTAGATGCCGCGTGGCCGTAGAATAGGATTAAATTTTTGCGTCTTATAACATTTTTTAAAGAAAATAATATTTTAACTTTTAATAAATGAATCCTATTAGAAAAAAATATCATGATTCAAATTTTTAATTTAAACATGTACAAATCTACAAATAATATACTTAAAACTCTCTTCTTATTAACTATAAATAAAATTAATTCAATCAATAAAGTCATCAATCACCGGAATTAAATATTTCCAAATTTTCTAAATTTAATAATTTCTTCTTCTTTGTTTTTAATATAAAATAACATAAAATGTAAAACACAACTGTTTTTCTGCAGAATAATGGAAAATTGTCTAAAAAGTGGAAAATTAAATTTTTGGTTGAAAAATCTTGAAATTTTTAAAAAATATTTCGTTAATTTTTGGGCAGAAAAAACAGTATAATAAAAATTTATGTGGCGGTTTTTCGTTGTGTTGGAACAAACCTATTTTTAATTCAAAGTTATAAACTGTAAAAAATAAATGCTTTGAATATTGTAAATATCACACCTTTTTAAATTTCAAAATTAAAAATTTAATGTATTAAAAATAAAGATTTTATTGTGCAAAACAAAAAAAAGCATGGGAATTTTTTTAATCGTAGATGCAAAATTAAATAAATAGCTCCGTTCGTACTCCTTTCCCACTTTCCCCTAACTACATCTTTTATGATAGTTTTAAGCGGACTGACTTCCAGATGTGTTTTAAAGTATAAACCGTAACCAAATCGCCCATTTGAACTGTTTTCTATAAGCGTCTATATTCTTTGGTTGGTACTACCTTAAAGTCATTCCTATACTGTATATAACAATCCAAGAAAAAATAAAACAACTACTAAAAACAATATTTATTATAACTCCATTTTTAAAAGCACACAGTTCATTTATGTAAAATAGAAATAACTCTACAAATAATATTGAAATATAATAAATGACTTGTCACCGACCGATCGACCTTTGCTAAGCAAAGCTTAAAATATATTGCAACTTAAAAATAACGGGTTTAGGTTTAGTTACATCAAACATAAAAATTAAAAAGGGAAAAGGGCAGACAAAAAACTGCCGAACAGTTAACTGTAAACGGTTATGCTGGGACTTTACATCGTACATTTTTATTTTCTTCTTATTCTTCAACTATGTATATATCCAAATAGTTTTTTAATAAATAATACAACACTGGCTCGCTGAGGTTGGTAGTTTTGTGCCCCAGTCAAGTAAATTTTTAATCACATAGTATAATATATATTACTATACATTTAAAATTACTATTTAATAATATAATGTGCAAACTACAAGAAAAATATATTAAATATTTATGCTAATATAAAAAAAGAAGGGCGAAGTCTGGACAGAAGTCCTCTCAGGTAAAGCGTAAAGATACAGGTATGATCAAGAGTAGAAGTAGAAATTTATCTGAAAACAAAAAAATCAATTAGAATATAATTATTTCAATAATGGGTTTTTCCTTATACCTAGTTTTGCCATAAGTATTGATACAAGGTATTTAATTAAAAAAAAATACACTATTAAGTTGATTTGAAAAATTTTTGCATAATTTATTACTAATATAATGAACTACAAATTTACAAAAAAAAATATTCAAGATGGCCGCTATTTCTCAATTGGTATAGACTGTTTTTATGTCAACTCCTCGACATTTTTCTTCCCAGCTTGATTGATATAGCGGTAGATCAAATAGGGACGGTGGATACAATTTAACCTATTTTTGTCGACTTCAACTAATAATTAAAAGGAATTAAATGTAGGTACTTACGTTTTCTTTAAAGTAAAGAAGCTGCGACGTTTGGAATCCTCCTTCTGCCCAGATGCTGGTAATGTATGTGAGCGAGAAGGACCGGCAGATTCGGTGTCTGCGTGAGAATTTATATTTGAAATCCACGTGTTCATCTCTGAATCGTTCTGTGATTGGAAGAGGAATTCGCCACCGCTTTCCAATCTGCAAAAGAGAGTATTTAAATAATTAAACAAGAAACAAGAGGTAGATTAGATCATTTAAAAAAAACTGTAAATTTTTTCACGGATAAATATAATAATATACAATTTAGATGGGTTATGACGACTCCACATTTCTTCTTAAACGCAATGAAAAATAAACCTTAAGACACAAAGAAATTAGTCATCGTTTAAAATGTATCGCACCAGACAAAAGAACCTTAAGACTAGCAACAAGAAATAGAAACATATGACGAGATTTAGAAGACTGTGAACAGAATAGTAGAATAATAATGGCTAAATACTAAAGACCCTGAAGATGACAAATATATAGAAGACACTGTTATGTAATGAGGAAATAAATGATTGGGAAAGATGTAATGAAATTTATAGATCATTGGGATGTTCTAAGTCAATGACAGCTTAGAAAGCTATAAAAACGTAGTAAAGTAGAGTAAAAAGATTAATGAAAGAAATTCCTAATAGAAAATAGGGATACCTTTTGTAATGTTAAGTACTATCAAGAAAAAGCAGAAAGTGTGAATTTACTAATTGAGCAAATCAAGAACTCTTTGAAACTAATGAAAAATAAATCACCTGGTACTGGAGGTATACCCATGGAACTTTTAAAATATGCACCTAACATGGTAATAGAATAACATAAATTTAATAATTAATAATGTCTAGAGGAAAATAAGATACTGTCTGAATGGAAAATTGCCATCATTAGTACCACATATAATAAAGAGAGTAAGACAAACTGTAGCAATATCGTTGTCGCAGCATAAAAGTTTCCATAGGTAGGCTGTATGGCAATGTTTTAAGAGACAACATTGAAAATCAGTTTGAAGAATGACAGAAGCAGAGCGGCTGTCACTGCCAGACAGGAGAGGGAAGATCTACTATAGATAACTTGTTTTGTCTGAAACAACTAATGGAAAAATCCCACATACAGGAGCGAACTACATCTGGTTTTTGTAGACCTAAGGAAGGCATATGGCAATGTAGCAATTAAACAACTGTGGTACAGCTTAAAATTGAATGGAATTCACCTACACTATATAAATACTGTAAAAAATTTCTATAAAGGCAACATAAGTTGGGTCGAGACAGAACAAAGATGTTCAAAATACTTTCAAGTCAAAATCTTTCGAGTTGCAATGACTTAGTTGACTTTCGAGTCTGAGGCCATTATTCAAAATGGCCTATGTTTCTCTTCCATACGTTTTAAGATCTTATCTCTAAAACATTATTACAACCAAAAAAATTGGGTACAAATTGGAGGGGGGGGGGGGCAATTATTACTACTCTACTATTTGCTGACGATATTAATAATAAAAAAAAAACAGAGATTTAAACATTGATGGAAACGTCAAGAATACAAATATCTGAGAGTAACATTGACCGCAGATGAAAATGATAAATACAACAAAAAAAGATATTGTTATGGGATAAAAACAAACAAAAAAGAACAAAAAGGCACCAATTTACTGCAGTAACTTACAACTTCGAAGTCAGGACATTAAACAAGTATACGGAAAATGAACAAATACTGTATAAAATAGTTTTTGGTAAAAATGCTGTCGATATACACTACACGATCATATAAGAGCAGATAGAATCACAAAAATAATAAATGGAAAGAAATCGTTTACAAATACCATAGGAGTATTTTGCCGTTGGATCTATTCTTCTTCTTCTTGTAGTGCCTATCCGTTTCGGATGTTGGCGACCATCATGGCAATCTGCACTTTGCACACTGCTGCTCTAAAAAGATTTGTGGTTGTTGTGTTGAACCACGTTCGTAGATTTTTTCAGCCAGGAAATCCTTCGCCTTCCTGGTCCCCGTTTTCCTTCTACTTTTCCCTGCAAGATTAGTTGCAGCAGTCCATATCTTTCGCTGTTCCTCATGATGTGACCAAGGTATTCGATTTTGGCTGTTTTTATTGTGGTTAACAGCTCTTTTTCTTTTTTCATTCTCAACAGAACACCTCATTAGTAACGTAGTCCCAATTTTCATTGACGTTCGTACAAGGTAGGTGTATGTTTTTACTCTTTCTATTTGTTGACCGTTTACACTGATTTGTTAAAATTGCTGTTCCTTCTTAGAGATCATCAAGATCTCTAAGAAGGTCCTCATTCATGGACCAATAATTAAAAATCTAATGACAATAAAAGTTTTGGGTAATTTTGGGGAAAGTCAATTAAAATTGTATTTTTATAAATACAATTTTTATAAAATTTAATATTTATAAAAATAAGCATTTTAAATAATCTTATCGAGTAGGAATTATTTTTCGACAACTTAAAAAAATTCTCTAAAATTACTCAACAATACTTACTTCAGCCTAAACACGTATTTCTTTTTCTTATAATCTTGCGCAACATTAGCAACGGCTTTTCTCAGTGCCAATGGTGGTTCACCTTTAAACCTCTGTTCCGGCGTTGATTTTGCTGTCTTCGCATCCTTGTAGAACGCCAATTGGGTTCCCTTCAAGACGCAGTATACCTTGTCCCACGAACGGTTGCTGGCTTTCGTTGTTGTATTCTCCCATTCGTGCTTGCGCACCAAAGCTCCTTCGATTGCTTCGTCATCTCCTACGCTGCTTGGGTCTAGCGAAAGAAGAACGTCAGTATGGATATACAATTGAAATGAAAAAATATACTTGAAATTATACATTTATATTTTCAATAATATAATAAGTAATTATTATTTTGACTCTGTTTAAAAATTGTAATATTAAATGTAGAATTTAGCAGGCTCTGGTTGCCAATACTAACAGAGGAAGTTAGCAACAAGAATATATCAACATTAATGGATTAACAGAAGGTCAGAGACACATCATCTATACATACATGAAACAACTCGAAACATGGCTATATGCCTGCTAGATCGAGGTCTTGTGAGCGCGGTCAAGCGCCATTTCCACACTGTGGAAACTAGTGTTAAAAGATAGTTTTCCGATGTTACCAGAGGCGTGCTGTAGGGATAGATACTTCCTTATTTCCTCTCATAATTTACGCTACTGTCCTAATAATCATTTCAGCATGTTTTTTGATTCTTCGTTACTTTTTATGTAAATATCATCCTTTTGTCTCAATGCGATAGAGTAAGTAGTTTTCCAGTTATTTGCGTTTAAAGGTAATGTTTTAAAATCTATATATCCGGTTTTTTTAGGCGTTACGCCCGTCCGGTAGGGATCTATGGAGGAGTATCACCAAGCCGCAAGCCCTTATCTCTTGCCGTACTGCTCCACCATAGGCCGATCAGATCCCAGCATATCCTAGTCTAAGCCGCAGATTCATCTAGAATTTTAAACTGCTGCGTTAGACTTTTTGTTTTCAGTACACCGAGCTATGGCTCGAACCCACATCCACTGAACCATTCGACAGTGAAGCGAATGAGAGGCAGCCGCACAGCCCGCTGAGCTATCTGACCGACAATGTTTAAAATACATAATCTTATTTTATTGCTAACATATATTTCACATGAGCCATAATTGTCACTAATACCGTTATATAATTTAGTAGATTCAGTAAATTCCATTTCAATTGATTTTTGCATATTAATGTTTTAGTTCATAAACAAATCAGAAAAAAATGATTTATTTAGACTACTGTAACAATAAACCAATTTAATAATTGTGTCCTCAATCTTCAATAAATATTTGAATCAGAAAAATTTCTCCTAATATTCGGAAATATGTTCGGTTGATTTCTAATAAAATTTGCTACATTCTCTATTTGTTGCCATAATTCTTGTCGGGTATTAATTTCTTGAGCACACACAAGTGTCTTCATATGTCCCCAAAAATAAAAATTTAAGGGATTAAAATCAGGACTCCGAGCAGGCCATGGAAATTCACTTCCTCGCCCTCTCCACCTATGAGGGAACTGAGTATTCAAATAATTTCGCACCATCAAGTGAAAATGCAGTAGGGGCCATCTTGCATAAACCAAAGACACTCAACTTGAAAACTATTTACTCTATCGCATTGACACAAAAGGATGATATTTACGTAAAATGTGACGAAGAATAAAAAACATGTTGAAATGATTATTACGACAGTGGCGTAAATTGTGAGGGTGAAAACGTGTGTAAACTGTTTGTCAAGTTTACCAAAAAATCTTGAAATGTGTTAAAACAATGGGCTAAAATCATTTTAGAATATTTGTAATAAAACACTCTTCGGTAAGAAGGAATATAATTATTAAGTGTGAACTGAGAATTCATGCTTACTGGAAGCTATTGGACGATGTTAGTAATAGCCTTTTATTCCGACAATACATTTTACTCTTGCAAAACCATCTTTTATACTCTCTACAAAGAAAAAAGACATTAAAATGATAGCAGACAATTGCATTTCCTTTCAGTTCGTGCTCCACCATTTTCCTACACGTACTTCTACACCGCTTGCGACTCTGCTCTGAAAAATGTGAGATGCACCCTAAACATATTGAAGAGTGAAAAAAAAGATGAACTAGGAACAGAACATGAAAGGAATTTACAAGGTTAAAAGAGTACCATAATAAGATAATAGCAAAGTTAAAACAGTTCGATCTTGTCCAGTTAATGATTGACCAGATGTTAGGTAGTAGAAACACCTGAAAGTTTTCTTTCTCGGTGCTGATATCCTGAACTAGATAGGTGTTAAGTAGTTAATATAACTCTAAAACTCTTACATTACAAAAATATCATTTCGAGTTTGTCATAGTTTTCTCTTAATTTTTATTAAAAACAGAGCCAAAATAGATAAAAACTATGCTAAAAATTGAGTGCTTAGATTTCTATTGCTTTATCACAGATACTAAAACTTACTAAACACATAAATTTACAAACGTATGAATTTTACAAATGTAGACACCGAAACGATACTACACATAGAACTACAAGACCACACATCAACATAGTTTGTAAATCGTAGTATTATAAGTAGTAAACTAACGAATTATTTTTAAGGGTACATGTTACGAGACCCTTCCCATACTAGTTGGCCCACCTATGGA